TTCATCAGCTGCAAGAGAAACTTCACTCTCCTTATCCTCGTTCTTGTCATCAGACTTTGCACAGAGGCTCTCACAGCATATTTAAGATTCACGGATTAAACAGAAGAAAAAAAAATCTCTCCAACATATTTTTTATTATTTTCATAAAAGGAAAAGTGCAAAATGCCTAACACATAACCACATCCTAACCTGCCAGACAGCACATGTACGACAGAGATGGGCAAAATAAATGAAAAATGAATGAAAATAGATAAACTAAATCAAAAAAGGATYAGTATCTTTCCAGTCCACTGTAGTAGCCAGTCAACAGCAACAAAGATGTGATCTTCGATAAGAATATGTCAGGGAGAAGGCCTATTCCATAACAAAAGCTGTCCACCCATCAACAACATTTTTTCAGATCTATAGCTATATAGTCTAGGGAGGGTGCCCAGATTTTAAGGAATAACCAATCCTTGCACATTATTACAGCCTGTTACCYTTTTTTGAGGGTCCAGGAGGATGGTAAAGATCTCCCTGTATCAAATGGTGATGGTGGGAGGAAGAACTTTGGTCCAGTTTAGTAGGATAGCCAGAGGAGTTTTTCAAGGAGTGTTTAATGTGATGCAGCGAGATGTAGATCCCTAGAAGAAAAGCCCAGGAGGATAACCTCAGCGTCTTTTTTTTTTTTTGGCTAACCATCTATTTGGTGGTGGTCAGGTGGTGCTGGTGCATGACAGCCCTGCCTCTCAGTGTACCCCAGGGCAGCTGTGGCTACAATGTAGCTTACCACCATCAGTGGGTGAATGTGTGAGTGAATAAAGTACTTACTGGTCAACTCCATAGGGACTTACTGTTTACTTTATGTTTTAAAAATCTCACTAACTACCTTTGCAATAACTGTCCAAAATCTGAAAAATAGTTTACACTCCCAAAAGTAATGGAAATATGTCCACCTTTCCAATTTTCATTTGATATTTAAAGGATAAATAAAATGATCGATTTTATTTAAAATAACTGGAGGAAAGTGAAGTCTAAGTATCTTGTACCGGTGTCCCGATAAAACTTTTCTCTCTTCCTGATTGTAGTCTTGACTATTGACCGATACCAATATTGACCTGATACGATATCAGAATGAATCCTACCTACAAGGGCTGTGCGGTATATGCGGTAGACGATAGAACCGATATAAAGTTGGTCTGCGGTAGAAATTTACTCTCTATCGTCCTGTCGTCATTACGTCATCGCACCTGTGTGAACAGGCCTGTGAGTGCAGAGACAACTGAGCAGCAGGAGTTCAAAATAAAACGAAGAAATATTAGCGTTTTAAAATGCGTAAAGAGAGAATAAATCCTCAAAATTTCCCCTCCAGCTGTAGAAAAGTTACATCGGGATCATTCCCCCCCGCCTCTCCCGCTGCACGTCGCACAGAGCGAAGATTTAACAACTGTAGTTTTTTCACACACAAGTAGTCGGAGAAAAAAACTTTTTTTTTTTGTGTTGTTACCCACAGAGATGATAAAATAGACGTGGACGTTCGTTCAGTCATAAATCCATCTTGCTAATGTAAAATCAGCTTCTGCTCTGATGATGAAGATGAGCGCGCAGCAGAGCAGCAGCTGATAAGTTCAGCAGGCAGAAGCTCATTGTTTGACAGGCAGATGTTAAAGTAAAAATGTTGCGTTTAATTAAGA